ATTGTATTCATTGGACGGAGGTGAGTCTTCTCACCATACCTATGGGTCTACGGCACCAAGGCCGGCCCATTATGTGATCATGTTATGTGTGTGTTATTCATTTATGAATTGATATGTTGTGTGATATTATGTTGGTATGGAAGACCCCGGGGGGAGCCCGTGGCATTGGATATAAGACCATGTGGGGTAGCCCATGGCAGTCCTAGGTAAAGACCATGTGGGGTAGCCCATGGCATTGGATGTAAGACCATGTGGGGTAGCCCATGGCGGTCCTAGGAAAAGACCATGTGGGGTAGCCCATGACACTCTTGTTGAATTGTATTACATAGTTTCTATGGCATGTTTATAGCTTATTTTTAGCTATCAGGATATATGTATGCGAATGTGTGTGGTATGCTCTGGGAAACTCACTAAGCATTTCGCTTACAGGTTGTTGATTTGTTTCAGGTACTTCTGAGCCTAAGGGCAAGGGCAAGGCGTGATGACGTGGCGTGCACTCTATCTCTCTTTTGATGTGTTTGGGACCCTCTGATGTTTTAAAAAGGAAAACAATGAAGTAATGAATGTTGATTTGAAAATAAATGTTTTGGGATTTTATGGTTTAGGGGATTGGCTTTGGTTTTAAAAGGAAAAAAAATATAATGAAAATTTTCTTTGTAAAATTGGGTCGTTACATCAAGGAATTGGAATTTGGTAAAGTGATCCAAAGTTCGGAGGAACTAGACATATTAACCTTTCTATAAAGCTAAACTTTATGATTTTTGACCTTTCTGATAGCCTTGCACGATTTTTAGAAGTTAGAGGGCAGATTCTAGGAATTAATTCATAATAGTTTTTAAGTCACTTTTGGTATCTCATTAAGAACTTAATGATTAAGATTTAATTCCATTATTTCCGTTATATAAAATGGTCACTTGTTATGCTATTAAGATATGTAAGTTAACTTAACCTAATGGTGTTAAAACATGGCTTAATGAGAACTTGAAATTGAAGACTTTTTACATAAAATAACACTTAATGCATTGGGGTTAAGTTAGCATCTCAACCCCATAAGCACTTATCCAAGTATCTAGACTGGGAAATAGAACATCAACAACACCACCATCTGTTGGTTGTCCGATGGTGGTGTTATGGTGGTCAAACCACCACCAAAACAAAGTATGTTGCTATAATGGACCTTAACCTAGAAAACTTCAAATGGAGGACAAAGATCATGGATTCAACAACCAAACACCAGCCACCGCTTGCAACCAGCCTCAACCAAAGGCACATGGTGGTCGACTGCGGCGCCTCCCACCACCGGTGTCAGTGGTGGTGATAGTTAAAACCGGCGTAAAAGAAAGAAAAAGAGAGAGGGAAGGCACAATGAACTTACCTAAGATACACATGACTCTTATCTTCCTCATCTCTCTAGTTTTTCTAGCGACCACCCTCCTTCGTCTTCTTTTTTCCCGCTTTTTCCTTCTTTCTTTTATCGGTTCTTCTTTCTTTTCTTCTTACGACTCTAAGATTATATTAGGGTTGGATTTTGTGGCTTAAAAACAAGGGTTAAGGGAACCCTAGTAAGGAACACCCCCCTTCTCTCTTAGAGCCGATCGAAGCCCGAAGACCCCATAATTTTCACTTTCTACCCTTAACTTTGTCATAATGACAGTTTATACCCCCAAAAACAATTTTTTTGTATTATCCGATTTTAACTTTAGCACTTTTAGTCCTTGAATTTAAAACATGTACTCTTATTATTTTTGGGAGTTATTTTTATTTTATTTTTTTTAGGTTATTTTATTTATTTATTTATTATTTCCTTCAAATACCAGAAAAAGAATACGGAAAAAGTATGACCATTTCTAAGGTTTTAAGCACTGAGAGCAGAATGAGTGGAAATAATAGAATGCTTATGATTAAAAATGAAAGGACAATCCAGCCTAATATAGAATTTCAAGAGATTCTAAATCTTTTTTAATTAACTTTCGACAAAATTATAAAAATGATTCCTATGTTTAGTCGAAAATTATCATTTTGGTTCAAAATGCTTTGGACTAGCATCATTGTTCCAAAATACATTTTTTTTGCGATTTTGGTCTAAATGTTTTAGAAATATTTAAAATGACAGATTTTCCCTTGGTGTTTTCTATTTGCATTTTTTTATTTACTTGTAACATTTTGTTTAATTAAAGATAAATAAAAAGAAACCACCCCACCCCTACCCCCACCTATACCTACACCTTATACCTTCTTCCTCTTTTTATCTCTTCACCTTCACTGCCAGATTAACTCCGGAGAAATCATCGGAGTAGTTGCCGGAGATATGGAACGGTCGACAGTCATGTACAAACAACTTCGATTATGGATTTTCCCTTGGTCTATCTTTTTATCTCTTCCGACAATTTGTCTCTCTCATTCTTCGGAGCTCATACCGACGGCACTCTTAACCTTAGCGCCAACACCACCGTTCAGAAACCCTAACGGTCGATTGTTCCGGCGGCGTTGAGTTACAAGCTATAGAAACCCCGACGACCAACATATCTGTAGGCCTAAAAAGGAGAGGGTTTCGTTAGAGTTTTCGAGTACAACACCGACTTGTGTGTTCGTTGAGTTACAATGTAACATCCCAAAAATTACAATAAATTTAAAGTTTTAAAAAATCATTTATTTAATAGAAAATACCATTCATTTCATTACTTAACCGAAAACCGTTAAGTTTAATTGAAAACATCCATAATAATAAATTTAATTAGGTTTCAAAAACCAACAATAAAAAACAGCGTAAATAAAGTCTATAAAGTTCAACATTTATAATTAATCATCAAGCCCCGTCATGTGTACAATCAAGCTATGTCTATCCCTTTACTCGTACCTGCAGATCCTAAAACGGTTGTTTATAGGAAAAGGGTAAGCATGAAGCTTAGTGAATTTCAACATGACATCACATATACGTAATACATCTTTACACCTACCATACAAGTATATCTAAAATGCCATTATTCAATAATCCAAGCGTACAAATTAGATAAAAACCTTGTAAAATACTACACATGAAAATATAAGAACACATTACTAGACGACCATCCACTAAGACTCGAAATTTCTGCCTTCAATCTATTGACTCGGCATTACTGCCTTTAGTCTATTGACTCAACATCTCTTCCTTTAGTCTATTAACTCGACATTTTTGCCTTCAGTCAACTGCAACCAGCTTGGCATTGCTCCCTTTAGCCCAATATACCACATATCATTAATACATACCACATAGCCTAGTACTAACCATATATATATATATATATATATATATATATATATATATATATATATATAATCACACACGAGCTAAAGAAAATGATATAAAACATCTACATCATATAGTGAGGAACTCACCTCAAACCGTAGCATGAATCTCAAGCAAATCTCTGGGAAATCCAACAAGATAGTACTCATCACAACCCTCCTATTAATAGCATTTAATAGTGTTAATAGTTAACCCGTAACCCTGATTATGTATTTAAGATATTAGGCTTATTTCTCCAGATTATTTCCCATAACAGTTGTTTGTTCAAGAAATGTTTTCCCCCCTTACACCCATTTAATCCAGAGTATTATTTCATATTCAGAAAGTTTCATATTCAGAAAGTTCAGTTCGATACATTTCCAAGGATATATTACACTAAGCCTAACTATTTTTCTATGAATTACTATGGATTTTACAAAACAACTAAATTCAGACCATTAAGTGAAAATGATAACTTTCACCCTAGTTAGGTCATCAACAGGTTAAGGAAAAAATCATGGAAATACTAGACCCAAAACCTAAACTTTAAGAACTGAATTTTCTCAAATTCGACATTCCATGATTTTTCTATAAATTTTGCAAAAACTAGACAAAAAAGGGCAAAATACATAATTTCCTAGCTTTGACTTTTTAGGTTAATTGGGCATCCTATTCCATCAAGCACTTATGAAAATACTCACTTTTCTGAAAAGGTATACTTTAAAGTATCCATAAGGTGCTATGACAATAAGACCAACTGGTGGTGAAATCATGACTCAATTTCAAGAATTTTGCAAAGGAAACCAAAGTACATTGTTAGAATAATAGAGACATGAATTTAGGGTTTTTGGTTTGCATCCAATCCACACCTCAACAACATAAAGGGACACAAAATGAGGCTATAGTTAGCACCACCCACTACCATCATGGTAGTGATGGTAACAGCCACCACCTAAATGGTGATGGTGATTTTGACTAAGGAAGAAGAAGATTAATGAAGGAAAAAAAACATGGGTCTTCATAAAATCGCACCTCCAACAACCTCCTCACCCCTCCTCTTGATTAGTAACTCCTGCATTTGACCTCCCCTATACCTCCCTCTCTTTCACTCCCTCTCTCAGTTTTAACTTCTTAAAGCCGCAATTCGCACAAACAACATACAAGTTTAGGTTAAGCTATCTTATTAACGATAGGTATAAGGGTTAGAGAAATAGGGCCAAAATGTTATGATTTGGGCTGCAAGGGAGTGAAATCTCGTCACTTAGGAGGCCCTCCATGCAAGAATCCAAAAATGACAATAATAGTCTCTCAAAGCAAAATTCTTTACAATATAAGGTTCTAACTTGATCCATTTAGCCCCTCCTCTTTTTTATATATTTATTTTCATGTTATATAACTATTATTTAATCATTTTACTGATTTTATAATTTTTTTTATTAATTTTTTTATTATTATTATAATTAACTATTATTAATTTTCAATTAATCGCTTCAAATTCATATAAATGTGTTTTTATTTGACTAGTTCACCCATAAGACCTTAAAAGTTTATTTTCCATTACTTCATTATTCATAATACAACGCTGGTAATGCTAGGTTTTCGAGTTACAGCAACGGTTACAAATACAATGGAGAAGATGAAGGGTGACTACGAATCCAACAAAGCTTGCTTGGATGAATATATCTGAACAACTACTCTAACGAAGACAACGTAGAATACGAAGGGTTGAAACGAAATGGGTGGCACCAATAGGTTAGTTAGGGTTTCGATTTATTTTTTTCTTCTCTGAAAAAGTCGATGTCGGATAATGCTAGGTTCCGACATTAGAGGTGGTTTTGGTGGTCCGACGACGGTGGTGGTCCGACTGCGATGATGGTTGAGAGAGAGAGAGAGAGAGAGAGAGAGAGAGAGAGAGAGAGAGAGAGAGAGAGAGAGAGAGAGAGAGAGATGGAGTTTGTGTGTTATATGAGGTACAAAAAGAATAAAAAGAATAGAAAAACAAAATACCAAAGGGCAAATCTGTCAATTGAGATATTTTCATTAAAAAATAGGTCAAAATCATAATAAAAACCTTATGCTGGACAAGTGATGCTGGTCCAAAACGTTTTGGATCAAAGTGACAATTTTCGGCTAAATATAACAATATTTTTGCAAGTTTATCTTAATTTTCAAAAGATTTTTATTCCTCATGGACTAAAACGTTACTTTAAAATCTTACTGACTTGATTTGCAATAACCTTTCTATCACAGGACTTGTGTGAAATATTTCCTTTTGAACAACGCGTAAACACTTTAAAAAAACATTGTCGGTCTGTCGGATGAGTATTTGATTCTTTTCTCAGATCTATATTGTACTTCCGAGCTTTCGCTAATGGTTTTTCATCAGATCTATTTTGTTTGTAAACCAAATTTTCACTTCTGATCTGGAAGTATTCGTTACGTTTCTTTTGGGTTGAACAAACCTCCTTTTTCACTTCTGAATTCGAACTTTTCGATTAATCGAAGATTATCAGGTAATGATTCCGACTTTCATTTCTGATCTGGGTTTATATGGCAGCCTTCATTATATCAAGTTTTCCAGTGAAATCAGTTATGGTTGGTGTCCGAACAGAATATGTGCCATATAGAGAGAGACATGGCATGCAGGGTTTCATCCATGGCAGATTAATAACCCCCAAGGAGGATGGTGATTCTAAAAAGAAGATAGAGGACACAACTTTGAGGTGGAAAAGATCAGATGCACTTGTCATATAGATCAGTGCTTCACATAGAGGTTTCCATGGGAGGCCACCACCAAAAAAGAGGTTTCCTTTATATTGCTGTGGAAGACGATACAATTTCTACCAAAGATTTGTGTATCCTTGTCGGTTTTTCACTTGCTTATAATCCATTATGAATGGACTATTTATATGCAGCAAATGCCAATGTTTCCAACTTTGTATTGGTTAATCTTTCCTAGATCACAACTACCTTCTTTGGAAGATTGCCTCATGAAGTGTTACAATATGATAGGCATGGTAGCTGCAATATTTATCTTTTATAGGAAACATTATGACAACTTTGTCAAAGGTTGGATCTTTGGTTCAATTCAATACAACATTCTTGTCAAAGGTTGGATCTTCAGTTCAGTTATTTTTCACAAAACAATACCATGGTTGTCAAAGGTTGGATCTTTGGTTCAATTAGATTTCCAATTAGTTTTTATGAAACAATATGATAGTCTTGTCAAAGGTTAGACAAATATGTAAAAGATTGGATCTTTGGTTCAAATAGTTTTCAAGAAACAATATAACAATCTTGTGAAAAGTTGAATTTCAGTTCAGTTTGTTTTCATGAAACAATGTAATAGTATTTTCCAAGGTTAGATCTTAATTTGATTAAGGTTAGGTCTTTGATTCAATTAGTTTGCATTTGCTTCATGCAACTGGACTCGATGGAACTAAACAAGCTCTGAAGTGTTGCTTTGATTCAATTAGTTTGCATTTTTTATTGTAAGGGCACTTGCATCTTTTGATCCAGAGCGAGTCCTTCCCCACAAGGTGGGTTGTTGAACAAAATGTAGCGGCTGTTGGTGTACCTCTGGAAATGATGGCAACAATGGGAAAAGCAATGTCTGAAGCAAAACATGTTCTTAATCATATTTGTAGTTCAGTTCTCACCTCATAATTGTTTCCTTAGTCTTGTTATTAAAGGTTCTCACATCTTGTTATCGAGATTGACTGAGACAGAAATTTATGAAACCAAAACAGCATTATTTTAACAAAACCCAACCAAAAACTACAGCAGCTTCATAACATTTATTTGCAATTATATGATGGTTATTTTGTACCTCTAGTTTTATCTTTTAAAGACTCTTGTATATAAGTCCATGATTCTTATTTCTTATTCTTGTGTGGAAAGGTTTTCCATACAAAGTTTGGTGTGTTCTTGTATTTGTTTGTCTTTTGGAATCTGATTTGGAGCTGATTATATTTGTGTTAGAAAACCAAATTAATTTGCATCCTCAGAGGTTCATCTGAATTTCATATCTTTTCATTTAATTTGAATGGCGAATTTTAAAGAACACAAATTTGAATGGCGAATTTTAAAGAACACAAAACACTATTGTTGTGTAAAGCTTCTAAATTTTGTATGACCGTGAGACGCAATCCTAGCCACTAATTTAGTAGATAAAAAAAACATTTTTAAAATGCAAAATAAATGAAAATTTTCAAAAAAAAAATTTTCAAATATTATTTTAGGAATTTATATTTTCCAAAAAAAATATATATATATACCAAAAAAAATACATTTTTTTATATATTCTAGTAGAATATTAGAATATTCTACATATCTGACAAATCTAGTACAATATTCTAACATTCTAAAAATCACGTTAGAATATTCATTTGTAATATTCTATTAGAATATTTCACGTATTTTTCAAAAAAAACGGTAATTATTTTTTATTTTTTTTAAATTTTTTTAGGTAATTAAATTTCCGAAAATAATAATTAAAAAAAGAATTTTTGGATTTTTCCTTTTATTTTGCATTTTAAAAGTATTTTTAGATTTGGTCTCACGGTCTCACTATATTAGCATGGTCTCAAATGAACCTGAACATATATTATATATATATATATATATATATATATATATATATATATATATATATATATATATATATATATATATAAGTAGGTTAATGCGAAAACATAAATATTTTGCAAAAACGCGAAAACAGATTTTATCTTATAAAAATCAAACACATGTAATATAAAAATTAAATTTATTAGCAATAAATTAAAGATAATAAGTTTACTTTTTTGGTGTTATGGTAATATAGATTTAAATGCGGTTTTAACAACTAGTTTTTTTTCACGTTTTTAACCACTTTTAAATTCAAGTTTTCATAATAAAAATGTCAAAAATCATTCTTTGCTACTATGAAGCAATTTCTCATGTATCATCGATCATCATTATGCAGTTCAAAGTTTAGATGGATTATTGTTCAAAATATAAGGTTGAGTTGGCTGTCATGTATGCAACATTTGGTATAGAACCATCAAAATTGACTTCATTTTGACTAAAAAACATAATTTTCTTTCATTGTTAACTTCTTCATATTGCTTTTGAACTCATATTATTTTTAATTTCGTAATTCATCTCCAACATCTATGTATTTCGAATGTGTTTTCTTTATTAGACCTTTAGTAGGCTTCATAACTTTCTCCGACACCTACCTTATGTATACTTACATGGTTTTTTATAAAACTCCATAAAAATATATACAAGGCCTAACATAAGCTTCAATAGAGGATGCAAAAAAGATGGTAAACAAATTTGATTGTATTTTGTTAAAACAATATAGTTCTTGATGGTTATATACCTAATATTAGGTACATAACAACCACATATTCTCTAAGCCAATATATATATATATATATATATATATATATATATATATATATATATATATATATATATATATATGCAAAAGTTCAACAATGAACTATTTTAAACCATAGAACCAAGGAGCCATTACTTTTTCAAGTTTTAGATCTTATTATTTATCGAAAAACAATTCTAAAAATATAGAAATTCATAACTTTTGATCTTCTTTGCATTGATATTAAATTTGATAAATTTTTTCGTTACTTTTTTTATCTGTTCTGATTCACATTGTGAATCTGCACTTTAAATAATTAATTTTGTATAAATTTACTGTATGAATCTGCACAGATTCATAGTGTAAATCTGCACAGATTCACAGTATGAATCTGCACAGATTTCATAGGGTGAATCTGTACAGATTCACCCTGTACAGATTCACAATGTGAATCTGAACTAATTCACAGTGTGAATCTGAACATATCAAATTTTCTTATCAAATTTGATATTAATAGATGGAGGATAAAAAGTGAATATCTGTATTTTTAGTTTTTTTTATGAAAAATTTGCTCTAAAAGTTGAGAAAAGATTAGTTCCTTGGTTCTAAAGTTTAAAATGGTTCCTTGTTGAACCCAACACTTTATATATATATATATATATATATATATATATATATATATATATATATATATATATATATATATATATATATATATATGGAAAAGTGAATATACCCTTGAAGTTATATATGTTTAGGTACCCAATATTTAATACTACGTCGTTTTATGAAGTAAATGACCATCACATGTTTTTTGACTTTGCCTCTTTGTCCTCGCTCGTCCGGTCGTCCTCTTTCCTCTATCAAAAATTGATTTTTTCCTTTCGACACCTCTATGTCAATTTCCTGAAAACCCAATCTTGGATTCGAAAGTCACCAACATCAACAGTAGTTACATGGTATTCAATATTTTCCTCTCTATTCGAGAATCATCAATGTCTAGGATTTGAAGATTTTGAGGAAAAAATGTACTATAAGTGTAACATATCAAGGAACATTTGGACATTAGATTCGATTAATTTGTTCAAAAGTGTTGGTTTTTTTTAAATGGAGTTTGATGTAAATATTTGTAATTTTGAACTTCTTTGGTGACAAATCTATAGTGAAGAATGCCCTAAAGGTGCTTGACGAAATGTCTATGAGGAATGATCAACTGATATTGCAATAATTAAGTTTGCAGAATTATATATGAACCATATGGTATCAGAGAAACCAGGTGGTTATTCCTGCTACGGTGAAGGTCTACGGTTCTGCCGCTTATACGTTGTTAGATGAAGGGACACTCCATGCAATTGAAAGGCATAGATTGATAACATATTGTATGTAGGATTTAGTGAAACCAAATTCCAACTTCGAGTCATAAACCCTAATAATAATATAGCTACAACAATGAAAACATCTGATATGTATGTGTATGTGACATACCTGATCTTTATGTGTGTGCGATCTGATCTATATGTGTCTATGTATGTGTGCGATCTAATAAGAATGTATCAATGATCTAATTTGTATATATGTTTGTGATCTGATTTGTATATGTGTGTGATGGAAAGATTGTTAATACTCAATAGGAATGTTTTTGAAAAAGTATCAGCTTTTGTAAATCGATGATATTTTCAGTTGTTTTGTTTAAATTCATTTTTTGTTTCTGACTTTGCTGATTGAAGGAAATGGTTTTCCATATAGGTGAATGGCTGAAGTTGAAATCAAAAGGAAAAACACAAGAATCAGTGTCTATTCCATTGGAGTGTTTGTTGTAATTGGACAAAATTTCCCCAGGAGATGATTGATTATTCTTGAAATTGTTGTATGTAGTAAGGTTTTTATGAGCATGTGAGGGTAGAATTGTTATCTTTTTCAGGAGTTCTTGGTAGTGCTCAGGGGAAAGTTTTTTTTTATAGATTAAATTAGGTGTAGGATCCATGTGGCATAGAAGACGTTCCAGATTTATCCCTAGCATAAGCCTTCAATCTATAAGCAGAATAAGGTTGAAAGAATTATAAGAATCTGACTAGGATGAATAAAGAAAAATGGAATAGTACCCTTGAGAAGGTAAGCATCTTCTTACAAAGTTTCTTAAATCGAAAACACTAATAAGTTTTTTAAAAAAACCTAAAAAACAATAAATTCACATTTTTACCATTTCTCCTACCTGGACTTTTTGTTACTTTCGAACATTTAAAAGGGCAGGGGTATGAGTCCTTCTTGTGTATCTCGTTAATTCATTCCAACAACAATCCACTCAACATCAATATACATTCAAACACACTGAATAAGTACAAGGAACTAAAAATTATAGCAAACACTCAGATTTTATTAAAACGGTATCAATATACATTGGTGTTTGTAAACCTTTGCTAATGTATAATCCAACACTACGGTGATTCGTGTATCTTCTATAGCTCATGCTAACATGTCTACGTGTGACAACCGTCAATTTTTAGTCAAGTCAAAGTCAACCAAAGTCAACAAGTCAAACCGGTCAACTCATCTAACCCTTGTATATTAGGGTTTCCATAATGATTCTTATTGTACTACTCGCAATCTTAATACAAAGTATCACTTAGAGTTTTCATGTGTTCGGAAATTCTAAACCCTAATCAGGGCAAGTGATGAAACTATTCGATAAAACATTATTCCTTAACCCTCGGGGGCATATAACAATCATAACGAGGCTTAACAGAGTGTAAGAACCTTGCGTTACGAAGCCAAACACTTAAAAATGTCGCAAACGAAATCTCTCTCTGTATAAGAAATCTCTCCAAGTATGTGAAATCTCTCCCAAATCTCTCTCTGTATGAGAAATGTCTCCAAGAATGTGAAATCTCTCCAAATCTCTCTCTGTATGAGAAATCTCTCCAAGTATGTGAAATCTCTCCCAAATCTCTCTCTGTATGATAAATCTCTCCAAGAATGTGAAATCTCTCCCAAATCTCTCTCTGTATGAGAAATCTGTCCAAGTATGTGAAATCTCTCCCAAATCTCTCTCTGTATGGGAAATCTCTCCAAGAATGTGAAATCTCTCCCAAATCTCTCTCTGTATGAGAAATCTCTCCAAGTATGTGAAATCTCTCCAAAATCTCTCTCTGTATGAGAAATCTCTCCAAGTATGTGAAATCTCTCCCAAATCTCTCTCTGTATGAGAAATCTCTCCAAGAATGTGAAATCTCTCCCAAATATCTCTCTGTATGAGAAATCTCTCCAAGAATGTGAAATCTCTCCCAAATCTCTCTCTGTATGAGAAATCTCTCTAAGAATGTGAAATATCTCCCAAATCTCTCTCTGTATGAGAAATCTCTCCAAGTATATCAAATCTCTCCCAAATCTCTCTCAAAATCTCTCTCAACTTCTTATAATCA